ACACACACACACACATTTCTGCTTTTTTCAGATATTTTCCACTTACATTAATTTCTGCTTTTTTCAGCCTAAATGGGCAAACTTGTGCTCTCCACTTCCTTCTGGTAATTAAAGTTTCTGCCGTTTCATCTACTTTTCAGCCATTTCTTACTAATTTCACCCTTTTTTTAAAGTAATTTACAAATTTTTGTGTTAATTTTTGCAAAAAACAAATTCAGCAAATATGTTCTTTCTGCTTTCTTCTGCTAACTTAGGCTTGTTCTTCCATTTCAGCTACATTTCAGCATGTTTTAGGTAATTTCAGGTGTTTTTCAGCAAGTTCTTCAGTAATAAGCATTCACACTGCCATTTTGCAAGAAATGCAATTGCTCTAGTCCTATTTGAATTTCTTTGCCTTTTCCAGGCATTTTATCATTCATTTTTCTTAATCATACTTTTTTCAGGAGGTAATGGCCGTTAGTTAAATAGTAAAAATAGACTTTTGGTAGCTCTACAGATGAGGAAATCTTTGTCCAACTGGCTTTTCTCAACAGGCCCAGGCACAAGGTGCAGGCACAGTTCACCCCTACCTGGACCAAAGGTGCTCGGCCCAAGTCCCCCTGGACCAACTCCTGTTCCAGCTCCAGCTGGTCCAACTCCCCCAGGTCCTTGTCCACCAAACCCTGCCAAGGAATAAAGTAAAACAATGTATTAATGTAATTAATCTATTATACAGTGAATGCAAACGTAATTACTGAAAGTAAAGCAAAACGTTCTCAGACTAGTTTCTTGTTTTGGTACTTAAAATCATGAGGATTTCATTAGATTTGAAATGCAGAAACTTTATCCTCCAGTAACTTGTGTTTATTTAAGTGTCATTTTACGTCAGCTCAAGTGGATTTAAAACAAAAGTTGCATTTAGTCAAAGTGCTGAAGGTCGAAGTCTTCCTTGAAGCAGTTAAACCTGTCACCTCTCTGATTCCTCGTTCCACTGCAACATGAAGTCATAATCCATAAAACTGAGCAGGAAACACAGTTGACATCTACCTCCTCCTTGACCAGCTCCACCACCACCAGGCTGAAAACCAGTCCCAGTTCCTCCAGATCCAAATCCAAGTCCTGCACTGGCTCCGGTGCCAGCTCCAGCTCCTCCAGCAGCTGGTACGTATACACCTGATTAAAAACACAGGGTGTTGGGAACAAAAGGAGCCTGTGTCAGCTCCAAACACACAATGATGTGTGTTCTTTGTGTTTTGGGCTCCTGACAGATAACACAGTTTGTGGAATTCATGAGTCATCACTCAGAGGGCATAACATCATTTTCACTTCTTTATCAGCTAATTGATGTAAAATAGAAGGGATTTAATTTATCACGCCGGCTCAGATGCCACACAAGCAGGACAAAACATCTTTGAGCGTTTTCGTGTGTGTTCCTACAAACGCTGAGCGTCTGCTCTGAGCTCAGTGTCGGAGTTTCCCTGAAGCTGATAACAAACACTGCTTAATGTAAAAGGTATGCATCGCTGGTCATAATTCTCACACTTTTCTGCACCTATGTTGTGTTCCACAAATCACTGCTGCCAAAAATAGACATGCACGGAGGGAACAGCTATAAAAGGAGAGGTTTGTTAGGAACCCACAGTCCAGATGTGAAAAGAAAGAAGTCTGTGGGGATTCTTGAAGAATGCAAGTTACTGATGTCACGGTAATGCCATGTGCTGCTAAATAACTCCACTGCTCAGTCGTTTAGCTCTGCCTGCAGAGGACTCGAAAAGATTTGATTTAGTTTGGAAACAAGAAGTGTCACAAATTGACACTCGAATCGACTAAAATGAGTTGAATATTTAAGATGTCTATCGTGTTTGATTAGAGAAGTTCTTGTTTTAGCTCCTGATCTTCTGTCACCGCTGTGGGCCATGTTGGCTCCAAAGATCTAATGATTCAGTCACTGTTTTCTCTGCTGCGACCAGCTGGTTAAAATTTGTGGCTCAGATTGAAACATGTCTTCAATTCTTGGGTGAATCACCACACTTTGGATCTATTGTTTGATCTTTTTTTTTTTCTGTATGTAAAACTGTTTGTTCAGTATCTTGGCTTACAGAGCCCATGAGTCTGGCTTTGTTTACAAGCCTCACAAGGCTTCTGACGTTGTACACATCATGTTCAGAGGAAACTACTGAATGGATTCACTCCCAGTTTTGTTATGATGATGCTGAAGTTACACATCCTGATGGCTTAGGGATACAAGGGGCAGAGGTTTGTAACGGTGCCCCCTCACTGCTAAGGACTTCAGTTTACACAATCCTCCTTTCACCCCTCATTTCCCGACAGCTTTACACTTCTCTCTTATTTAATTAAGACAAACAAAAGCTCCGGCCGGACTCTGTAGAGCCGTGCAGAGAGCAGCTTGTTACAGTTACCAGGTGATTGAAACATGCAGGAATAAAGTGACTTTGTTTAAAAGTCGAATGAGCAAAGTGTTGCCAGGAAGAAAATTGTTTAGGTGTTCAGAATTCATTCTGGGTTTCTAAAAATTTGAGTATAATTAAAACAAAATTAAACTCCGGCTGTTGCCAAAAACACGCTGCACTGACTTTTTATGATTCGAGCTGATTGAGACATAAAAACTCCAAAATAAAAGCACTCGTTCAGTGTCATTAATATATGATGAAAAGACTTCACAGGTTTGTTTACTTTCTCCTCATCTTTATAAATTTAGATTAAAATACAACTTGAAGAAGGATTTAACCTTTTTTTTCTCAAACGGTGGAAGGCAGAGTAGAAAGGTTTCTTCTGGTATTGAACAGTAATTTAGAGGCGTAATAGTTGAAGTACATTGAGTTATTATGGGTTTTTTTTCTGTGTACACAGGTGGTTGCTAAATTTGTGACTGGATTTCTACTTTGAGTCAAAAAACATGAAGTGGGGACTTCAACCTAATTGATTACCAATAACATTCAGCCTTTACTGTAACAAAAATAAAAATATCTGTCATAAATGAAAAGAAAAAAATTAGTTGGAGAGGCGTTTTGTTAAATGGCTTATTGGCAATATTTATATACTTCAACCAGCAATAGTTGTAGATACATGTCTGCAACTTTTATTTTTCTGGGTGAAAGGCTGAAACATTTGGGAACCACCGGTTTAGTTCTGCTGCCTCATAGACCATGGATTAAAAAATAAAAATAATCTAGACTTTAAAAAGCAATAAGCTATTTTGTCATTCTAAAGGTTTATTATTGAATTACACAAATCCCTTCTATAATTTATGCTAAAAGATTTTAAAGTATTTCACAAAATGTCAAGTATTTCGGTCAAATAATACGAGAGAATGTGTTTCACTTTGTGTGTGGGCTCTTCTGTTGAATTATTTCAGTCAGTGGAGGTAACACTTGTACTACGAGCTCAGAACAACAATTGCAGCAGATTCACAACGCGATATGAATCTGATGTGCAGAACTTTAACTTATTACTTCTACAGAGACAAAATATATGACTTGCAATATTGCTGGTGCAAAACATATTAGATCTCTTTTCACAAGGAGTTTGTGCATGTCCTATAATATACATTTTAGTTAAAAATTCATAGGTATTGTCAGATTAATCAGTAAATTCTGCAATCAGGCTGTGGAACTATTGCTATAATTACTGTCAGTGCACAAAATGTCCTATTACAGAAATCAAATCTATTGAGCTGTCAGCAAAATAAACATCTTCTGATCTGTTTTGTCTCATTTGCTGACGGCTTCATAGATTACACCTGACCCACAGGTGCTGCACGAGGAGAGCTGCATGCACAGCGAAGGGGACCCACCTCCTTGCAGCGAGGGTTTCCACAGAGTCAGGAGAAGCACTCCATGCAGGTATGTGGCCACCGTCCCTCTTGCCATCTTGCTCCAAAATGTCACTCACCTCCCCGAGGCTCCAGGTTTTATCCCCAGCAAGCCTATCATGGCCTTTAAGGAGAAAGGAGGGAAAATGAGTTGGAGAGGGGGGTCGCGAGGGGAGGGGGGGATGCAAAACAGGATACTATGTCAGTTGGTTTAACTGCAAGGAGAGAAAAACAAGGAAAGAGGAGGAGAGGGGGGTAAGAAATCACACTGGATCACCTTGTTAAACCAAGTGGGTTGTTTTAACCCTTCAGAGACTGTCAGGCTGACTTTATGATGCTTTACTGCCAAGAAAGGAGAGTGTGGAGGGTGGAAGGGGTCTAAAAGAGGGAAAACATGAGGAGGAATGACAAGGGGGTAAATGAATGTAAATCATTGTTTGCTTTTCTGTCTCTCTGCAAAAGATGCCAGAATTCTGCACAATGTCATGGTGTTGGTTAAGAAGATATTAGGAAATTTAAAGCAACTTTCAAAGAATTGGCATTACTCAGGGACTGTACACAGTGTGAAAGGGACATGTAACTATAAACATGGATGATGGGAGTAGAACTAAACAATGTCACTGTCGCCTATTGTTTGGAGTATGCGTGTGTGTTTAAAGAGTTTTAAATGGAGAGAGAGCTTTATGGCAAGAGTCAAGTCAAATGTATTTATAAAGCACATTTAATACAGCAGCTGTTACCAGAATGCTTTTAACAATAAGTTGAAACATTAAAAACTCTCTGCCAAAAGGAAGAAGTAAAAGAATGCCTCGAGTATTGTACGTGCATCCCTGAGATAATTCAAAACAGAGGGAGAGGAGGGACAGATACAAAAAAGTGATGTAATAACAAATAAGTGATGTAATGAAGAAGTGAGACTGATTCACAGTTGAGTGTTTTTGTCTTTATAACGTCAAGAGCATTCAGATCCACATTTTTGTGTCCATCCATCCAGCCATCATCATCTTTTACCCGCTTCTTCCTTTTAGAGTCGTGGGGGGAGTCACTGGTGCCAATGTCCAGCTGTCACTGTGTGAGAGACGGGGGACATCTGGACAGGTCTCCAATCCATCACAGGGACACAGAGACAAACAAGACAAACAGCCATTCACTCTCTCACTCACACCTAGAGACAATTTAGAGTTACCAATCAGCCTAACATGCATGTTCTTGGTCTGTGGGCGGAAACTGGAGTACTGTATTTTTCGCTGTATAAGTCGCTTTTTTTTTTACATAATTTGCATGCCCTGCAACTTATATGCCGAAGCGATGTATTTATGGATTTTTTTTCCCATATTTATAAACCAATTTTTGGCTGAGATATGACTGTTTTCATTCATTCTGACTGAAAAAAATTGAACAGTACCATTTTCAGCCACTAGATGGCAGTCGAGTAGTGAGGCATGCCGTTGTATCATTTAATGGAGTTAAACTCAAAGCAGTCTACTCCTCAGATAAATATTATAAAATTATTATTTTAAAATCTGAATGTTTCTGTTCAGTGCCCTGAGATGACTTCTGTTGTGATTTGGCGCAATATAAATAAATTTAATTGAATTCATAGGTAAAAGTGGTTATTAATGACACAATCGGCTTGCTACAGCCTGCCTCCATCATCTGCCTGGAGCAACCGAATCAGCTTCATTTCACTGCGCTGCCCCCGCGAAATTCAGCTGATTTGACCTTCATAGTGCATTTATTAAGGAAAAGTTAGACTGAGACACACTTTTAATATAATGTTGAGCAAACAAATAATGTTTTTTAAGTCTTAATCTTGTTAAATTCTTGTTAAAGTCCTCCCATGCACACCCCTGCAGCCGCCATTTGGCAGCCCATCGCTTTTTTGGCGCACCAACCCATATTTCTGGGTTCGGCCCACATTTCCGGGTTGTCAGCAGTGACGCGTAACAAACGCGATGCGTCAGCACTGACGCATAATAGATTAGACTTATATGGTGAAGAGACATATTTATGGATTTTTCCACTTTATTAGACATATTTGGACTGATGCGACTTATAGGGCGGTGCAACATGTACGGCGGAAAATACGGTACCTGGAGAAAACCCACGCATGCACGGAGAGAACATGCAAACTCCACCCAGAAATGTCCCCAGCTGGGATTTGAACTGGCGACCGTCTCCCTGAGAGGCAACAGCTCTACCAACTGCACCACCGTGCCGCCTTCTTTGCTTTTGTCCAGCAGCTAGAAGGACCATTGTCTTAATTGGTCGTATTTTTTAATTTCAAACTGTGGAAATAATTGTTTTTTTCTCCATGTTTGGGCTGGTCGGTCTTGTCCCAGTTTCTTGGGTCTGATTGTTGAGTCTGGCAGGAGTTCAGAAACATTTTCCTTCTCAGGACGTAACGAGGTAAATGGGCTAATGGCACCTCAACACTTGCAGAGACCCAAGGATAACAAAACCACTTGAATCCTCCTGCAAAGAATTCTGCACTTATGTGTTGGAAGAAACATGTTGCTTTGAAGTTTTTATAAGTTGTACTTACTTCTTGTAGGAGGTTACGTTGAGTCTGTAAATGAATCATTTTCAGACCTGTGACCAACCATGAACGCCTGGACAACCAAAGTGAAGCCGCTGAGATAGTAATCACCAGTAAAAATTAAAACATTACCAACGCCTCTTGCAGACCTAACTCATGATGATAAAACACAAAACGAGTGTATCAGTCTGAAACGAAGCAGCATTTTCTGTGATGGTATCACTTAGAAACCCTGGTTCCTGAGTTGTGTTTAAAACCCTTCAGTTAGGAAATGACCGCTTGGTGTATTTGTGTTTTTTACGAGTATACACAGAGTTTGTGTTTTACGGAAAAAGAAAGGGATGCAGGGCTACCTGAGCGCCCATAATTGGTCTTAAAGTGTACTTTTACTGCTCTATTTTCAGACGTGGTATGCTTTGATGAAACTGCATAGTTATCCAGTGAACTAACGTCGAAGTAATAAGAATCAAAGAACGAAGGGAAAATGAAAACGCACATTCTACGAGTATACGCTTCAGTTTTGTGGTCATTATGACAGGTGTGATGTCAAGACTCTGAATTAACAGAGAACATACATTTAAAGTTTACCTAAATTCATAATGCAAACCATGTGTTGCTTTTAGCTTTTGAGTTTTCATTTAAATTTATACGTTTGACACTAATGCCCCAAATCCACTGCATATGGAATTCTTTGGCTACATAAACATTCTTCTCTTCGAACACTTTTGTCTCGGCTTTTGTATCTTTTTGACAGCATAAACCCTCAAACGATGAATTAACTCCTTTTCAGTGGAAGTCACATCTCCAGCCTTAGTCTGAAACCTGAGCCTGACAGAGAAACGAGGACCAACGAATGCTTCTGAGAGCCTCCAGCAGAGGAGGGCGTCCATCAGTATGCTTCTACACAGAGGAAAAGTAGACCCTTAATGCATTCTGTGTGTGACTTTTCCACCACTGGTGATGTAATTACACTCAAAACTGCATACGTTAACACAAACTGGAGCTTGGTCAGTAAGACCAAGAGTTTTATTTTTGTTTTGCTTGTGTAGCGTTGCTTTACTCAACACATTAAAGCACACAAGTCAAATGAGATACAACTCAGCTCATTGGTCCTGTGATGAACAGAGCCTCATTTGACATCCATCCAAATGTTTACATACAAGAGTCAAAACTGCAAGACTGTTGACCACTGTACAAGTCTTTAAAATTAAACAGAACATGCATAAAAGCTGTACCTTTGTTTAAAGACGCATAAGAATGTCAGAAACCATCCATCCATCCATTTGATCTATCCATTTTCTTCACCCGCTTATTCCATTTTGGGTCACGGGGGTCGCTGGTGCCCATGTCCAGCAATCACTGTGCGAGGGGCGGGGTACACCCTGGACGGGTCGCAAGTCCATCACAGGGCCACATAGAGACAAACGAGACAAACAACCATTCACTCTCTCACTCACACCTAGGGACAATTTAGAGTTACCAATCAGCCTAACATGCATGTTTTTGGACTGTGGGAGGAAACCGGAGTACCTGGAGAAAACCCACGCATGCACGGAGAGAATGTCAGAAACCATGATGCACTCAATTTTACTCTAGTTTTCAAAGTTTTCTTCTTTTTTTTTAATAGTGTTTGTTGGAGGATCATCCTTTCCTGATGCTGACCTTCGGTGGTCTCATTTTATTCTTCATATTTTTATTTAACAGCTTATTCAATTTAAATACATTTTAAGCAACACTTTTTTTTTTGTTTGTTTTATCCACCTCATGGTTGATTGGATGTGAACTAGACTTGATAGGCTATTAGAGACACACTAACGTTTTCACGTGAAGCTTTCATCCTTTTATTATTTTTGCAAACAACATTTATGCATAAGCACAAACAAATTTCAGATTTTCTGATCAAGTTTCATGAATCCAATGTTTTTTTTTGTACACATGATAAACATTACTATTACAAACCCCTTTTAATTCAATACATGTATTATGGTGGATACAGTCTATAGACCTCCATCCACTGGGGCACATCCTGGACCACATATAAAGACAAACAACTGTTCACACTCAGGCCAGATTAGGGTTGTGGGAGTTCCTGTTCCATGTCTGTCTTTAGTCACCAGAGGGCGCCACACTATCACACCTGCAAGCAATGTGTCCTGATGAGGCTCCAGGCATATATAAGGCAGCTGATGACTCTCCTTCGACGCTGGAGCATTACCCTTCTTATGGTTCGTGCTCTTAGCCCTTTGTGTGTCTCTTAGCCTTGTGATTGCATACCTTTCTCCTGTGATCATTTGAGTGAACCTCCTGCGACCTACCTGAGTATTTGGACCTCCTCGTAAACCCCTGGAAACCTTACCAGTGCACCTTCAGTTGCTCACCTTGCCCTCCAACCACACACCATCCTGAGCACATTGGATCTTCTCATGATTGTACATGATTTTGGAACCATACACCTTACCAACCATCTACCAGTAAAGAACCTGCATGTTTTGAATAAGACCCTTTTGCTGAACTCTGGA